CCCCCCCACCCCACAAACAAAAGAACTACAACTTTCCAAACAAAATAAAAACAATGAAACAAAAATACAATGGGTGTCATCGTTGGTGAAATCAGGCACTGACCAAAATTGAGACATCGAAGAAGCCGCAAAAATGCCGGGCGTTGGGCAATTTTTTAAACGTTTTTTTGTTGTTGGGGGTTTGGGGGAAAAAGAAGACAGACTCTAACTCATTTTGTGAACACACCTAACAAAATCTGACAGCGTTACTCACTGACAAAGTTAGTGGAGTACACCTCAAAAGAGTAGAGCGACCCCAGAACAAAGAAGGTGGTGAGATTGATGAGAATCTGCTTCTTCTGCCTGTGCAGGAACCCCATAAACCCGGCCCTATCCTTCTTCACAGGAGTCGGGGCGCTCGATCCCGATTCCGATTCCTCCGGCACTTCCTGGATCGGGATTCTGTCCAAGTGTCCGTCGGACAACGTCTTATGTGGGAGTCCCCGGAAAGAGTGGAACCGGTCGCCGACGCTGTCGTAAAGACTTTGTTCTGATGTGGCTTCATTGTGTGGCTCGCTGCCTCCGTGCCTGGATCCATTACAGGAGAGGGCGGCGTGAGACTCCGACAGAGATCTGGGAGATCTGCGAGACGTGACGGACTTTTCGTGAGAGTTGACCAGGTGGGTTTTTTCTGTACCGTTTTCTCTGCGGAAGTCGAACAGGAAAATGCTATGTCTTAAAACAATTTTTTTAGTGAGTGTTTTACGGCACTTACAACACAATGAGGTCATATAAGTGCCGAAGATTAGAGGTGTTACAAGAGAGTAACTGACACAAAAAAAGAAGGAGGGGAGATAAGGATGTTAGGTGTTTGATAGGAAAGAAGGAGCAAACCACACCAGAGCACTTTCCAACCACCCACAAGGCTATATTTAGGTATACATTTCTATAATGTTTGTGTTTCCTATGCCCCCGTCGACACACTTTTGATCATTTAGGTGACAACCAAAACAGGCCCAACAAGAAATCAAAACAAATAAAACTATGAAAATCAACTCCAAAATACCAAAACACAAACAATAGACGACAACAGCAACAGTAACAACAATAACATTAACAACAATAACATTAACAACAACATTAACAACAGCACCACCACCACCACTAACAA